GAAATTAAAAAAAAGAAATATTAAAAGACGAGTCTAGAGTCCATATAGGAAATATATAATTTACAAATAACTAAAATTTGATATTAAAAATAATTAATAACTAACACGTATATAAAATACAATATGAATATTACACATTAGTAGTTTTGTAAAGTTATTGCAAAATTTAAAATTATGTTGTCATTTTAATATATTTGAATAATATAATGAGAAAACATTTATACTATTGTATGAGAGAAAATATAATGCTGCTAGCCGCGCAATCTGCGCGGGCCACCATGCTAGTTTTCATTTAAGCTGATGGACCCATTAGTTTACACCGTTAGATTAGATCCATTATAAATTGTAATCTATCCCTCCTAATTTATCTCTCCTAATTTACCATGTAATACTTACCTAGAAAATATTAGCCGAAATAAGCCAAGAAGGCATACGTACACAGAGTTAACAACCACAAACGAGAAAAGAAGAAATGATATGCAGCAAAAAAGGAAAAAAAACATACTGCATATATACGTACTAGGTACTGGAAAAAAAACATTGCTTTTTAAACTGGATTTTCACTTCCTCTCTACTCCCTCGGGGCTCCGGGTTGATAATACTTGTCGTTTTAGACAAGGGTGAGGTCAAACTTTTCAATCTTTGATTATAAATTATTTTTAAAATATTTATTTTTCAAACATGGTGATTACATGTATAAATTAGTCTTAAAAATTATTTTAATAAAATCGTATATTTGTTAACATTTTTATACATATTATAATGAAAAATATTGGTCAAAGTTGTTTTTTGGAGACCGTGCCCTTGTACAAAACGACAAGTATTATTAACTCGGAGAGAGTTTTTTTTTTATGACGGCCAACATTAAATATTTAGTGAAACTACCGAAAGAAAACAACGATTTTAAACTAGATTTTCTATTATACTTCCTCTGGATTTTTTTTTCTTTCTCATGATCAACGTCAAATATTTAGTGAACGTGGTAGTATAAGAAAAATATATTACTTCATCAAACATGCACACACAAAAATAGATCTATAATATGATATAAAATATCAAATAAACGTATCATTTCACACTACAATTGTTGAGTGCAGATATATTTAATTTATTTGCATCAATGGGCCTACATTGATAGTTCAAGATGAAATAATGAGTAATTAATATATTACTTGGGACATATTGTCAGGAACACAAATAAAAAAGTATTGTTTAAAAATATGTCACTTTTTTTCTAGCAAAACACATTTAGGATTTTAGCCGTTAATAACTCAATCCACGTTTTTTATTTGTACATTTTTAAGTACATAAGTAATAAATTTAAGGTTGAATTCTAAAGTGCTTATCAGATTGGCTCTCCCTCATTTATCTTGAGCATGTTCTCCTAACTATTAAATTGTGCATGTTTTGCAAATACTTTCTATACTTTTTTTAAAAAGAATCTATTTTCATCTTTGTAATATCTAATACTTAAATTAATCTTGCGTTGATGACCTACATTATTTTCCATGCCTAAGTTAGGAGATAAATTAGATTATTTATACTATAAAATATAAAATTGAAGAATAAAGTTAACTATATTATTAAAAAATTCATTAGTTTGGATCCGATATATTCTACGGACTAGTTATTGTTCATTAATCAAAACATTTTTAAGAAAAAAAGAAAATGAGTTTTGTTGTCTCCTCGCAATTTCTTATCTATTAAACTAAAACAGAAACAACCAAGGATTTTTTTTACAAACACAGCACGCGCACACCCTACCCCTTTGAGTACCTCCAAAAGACTAAGCGGACACATTTTGAGATTGACGATGTCACCATGAGCGTCTTGCTATTGACGGATATGTCACCTACCACTGAAAAAATAATTAGCCATAAATGCGAGCACCGATGTCATGTCTAGGATTTGAACCAGGTGGGCACCACAAGAAATCTAACTAATTGAGTTGCGCTCACTTTGCAATAACATTGGATATTAAAACAACCATAATTTTGAAGCTACATTACTGAAATACTTCTATGCCTATTAAACCGGTGAACTATTATTTATAACCATTAGATCTATCTTATATAAAAGTTAAGCATGTATTCATGGTACATGACATTTCCAAAATATTATATTACTGCACAATTATATTTCATCATCAACTCCGATGCTATGAATATTCCACTTTAAGTACTGTTAATGATTTTAGAGCAAAGAGAATTCGAAAAAAAAATTCTCCTTGACATTTCTGATTATTAAATACATTGTAATTTAGGTTTTCTCCTGGTTAACCAAAGTCATTTCTATAGACGATTTATTGGTGAATTAGGAACTATGAAAAAGGGGAAACTTCGGGAGTGACAGAGGTAGACCGAGCTGGGCTGCGCGCGCAGGTGGTGTGGCAGCGCACCACGGCGGTGGGCTGCGCGCTCGCCACCTGCACCGGCGTAAGGGAGGCGAGGCAGGGAGAGAAGAGAGAGAGGATTGGGGAAAGAGAGAATAGAGAGAGGTAGAGGGTTTACAGGTAGGGTCCACTATTTTTTTTAAAAAAAATGCTGACTAGGCTACCACATAGGACTAAAACCACCCCGGATAAAAAATGCTGACTAGGCTGCCACATAGGACTAAAACCACCGCGGATTGATCCGAGGGTGTTATTTGTCCGGTTTCAATTATTAAGGGTGAAAAATGCCTTGTTTTGTGGTTCAAGGGTGTAATCTGGTTGACCGTGATAGTTCAGGAGGGTATTTCGTACTTCTTATCCCATGATGGAACCACCAGGGGCTTGATCATAAGCCTGTGACTTCAACGATGAAATCAAAATAGCCGAGTCAGTCTCAATATCAATATCATTTATCCCTTGTACTAAGGCAGCTTGTAAAGCAGCCAAACAAATCTGAAACAAATGGATGTGCTGAAACTGGAGCTTGTTTGGCTGCTCTACAAGCTGCCTTAGTACAAGGGATAAATGATATTGATATTGAGACTGACTCGGCTATTTTGATTTCATCGTTGAAGTCCCAGGCGGGAAAAGTCCATTTTACACCCTCGAACTCCTATGTTTGTCTAAAATACACTCCCAAACTCCAAAACCGAATATAATATACCTCTCAACTGTCAATACCGGATACTTTACCCCCTAGAGCTGTTTCTGCGGTGGTTTTTGCACACGTGGATGACACTTTGGATGCCACATCAGCGCACAGGATGTTTTGACCAACTTTTTCACAAGCTGCAGTGGCAGCGGCGCAGGGAAGGAGCATCTCCGACAAGCTGCTGCGGTCATCGGCGGAGGAGGTCTGCGCGCCAGCGGAGATGGCTGAGCAGGGAGGAAGCCACAGCAAGCAGGTGCTATTTGCGGCTGAGTCGGCCGACGGAACAAGCTTTGGCGGCACCGCACACGCTCGACACCGTCACGCGGCCGTCCAGGCGCGCCGCCGCGAGCATGGGGTGGAGGTTAACCATCGTGGGGACGAGGAAATACGCGTTCCCGAGGGACCTAACCAGGACGTCGTCGCTGGTCATGATGCACGTGATCCTAGTCACCGGGAGGAACCGCACGACATGCTCCAGTTACTCGTTCGGGACGGTGAGGATGTCCTCCTCTCCGGGGTTCACCAGCGATCGCAACAGCCGATGGTCCGTGCCGCTGCTGAACACGCGCACATGCTTGCTCTGCTTAGACTGAACAATCTTGGCGAGCACTGACGATGAGTTCTCCGGCGAAGGGATCGTGCTGGTGCCAACAAAAATCCCTGCTCATCATTGGAGTAGAAAATTCAGTGTAGGATGGGCAAACACAACAGATGATTTCTGAATTCTGAATCTCTAATTACTGACAAAGTGCAAAAAGATAAAAGTTCAGTTGGTTCTTCAGTATAATTAAGCCTGTTAATCCATGCCTGTTAATCTCTAATTAAGCCTGTTAGTACTTTCGTCAGACACAACAGGGAGGCCTCCTTTCAGCCGGTCTTAGCCACCACCTGAGCCGGCGGTGAGAACCCCAGCCACCGCTGCCGCCCCACGCCTTCTTCATTGCTTCAAAGACGCAAGACGTGCCTGCTTCCTCGCTGTTTCAAAGAACAATGAACAAGGAGAGAGAAAGAACGAATGTATAAGAGAGAACGCAGGATATATTACTCTATTTCATCCGACCTGGCGAAGGACTGATGTGGCATCCGAAGTGTCATCCACATGTGCAAAAACCACTGCAAAACAGCTCTGGAGGTAAAATGTCCGGTATTTACAGTTGAGGGTATATTATATCCGGTTTTGAAGTTCGAGGGTGTATATTAGACAAGCATAAGATTTTGAGGGTGTAAAATAGACTTTTCCCTAGATAAAACAAATGGATGCACCATCGATGTTGAGCATCAGATTGCCATTCAAAGGAAGAGACCAGCGTTTACCAACTATGATTCCTTTGTTTGATTTATCTGGCACGGAAATCGCTAACTCACTGGTCATAACTTGAGTTCTATGAACAACTATCTCCTGTGTAAGACCTGGTTCACCTAAGTTGATCGAGCGTGCCACCAATTCCATAAAGAGCAGCACAATCTCCAGCCTCTGCGCTGGTCTTATCTTAGATTTTCGGTTTCAAAAAATATCTTAGATTTTTTCCTTTTTTTTTTCCTGTCACTTTAGGCCCAAATTCTCTGAGAAGATATGAGCACGAAATGTGATTGATCCATGCATGTCCACCTTTTGGCCCAAATTCCCTTCTCCTCGCTGTTCAGGATACGCTTTCTCGTTTCTGCAAGGAATAAGATCACTTTGACTCCCTCAACTGACCACGAAATCTAAATCGTATCCCTCAACCGCAATACCAGGAATCTTGACCCCCCCAACTTACAAAACCGGTGCACTTTGACTCCCAAGGCAGTTTTGCGGGTGGTTTTTGCCTACGTGGCACTTTGACCGCGTCAAATGTGCTGAGTCAGCTAGGGCGGTGTCGCTGACTAGTGGGGCCACCATTTGATGACTCACATCGAGTCGGGTAATAACCGCGCGCTCATCGGGCTCACTCCCAAATCCCTCACTTGCGTTGACCGAAACCCTAGACCGTCGTCTCACGGCGACGAGGAGGGCGACTCGAAGGGCAGGGCGACGGTGCAGGGTCCCGGACTGCGCAGGTCGGTCGGCGACGCCGCAGGTCTCGGTCGGATCTGGGTCCGCGTGGAGCAGCAGTGTAGGTAAGTTTTTTGCCTTAAACCGTGTTTGTTTGCAGTCTCCCTCCATTGTTTTATATTACGGCGGCCACATTGTTGGATTTCGTGGGGGTTCGTGGTGGTTGAGCATTGTTTATGTCGGGAAGTTGTAGATCCAGTGGATTAGGTCATATTATATTGTGCACTGCGTCTTTTGTGCTTTGGAAACTGGATTTATGATACTATAATAGTATGGGTGATAATTTTTTTTATCAATTTGCATGTAGGGTAACTGATTGGTGTTATCATAGACATCTTAGACACCCTGGTTGTCAGATTTCATTTCAATGGGGAGTTCATGTTGTCGGGAGGGCAGAAGAGTTACTGTGGCGGCCGTGAGGCAATGTCATTAATAGATCGAGATAAGGTATCTCTCCCAGAAATTGTAGGTCATCTTCGGGATCATACAAAGGTTTTGGATGGAACATTGCTGCATTGGTTGTTCCCAGGGAAAGATCTTAATGTTGGCTTGAGGGCACTGTTGGATGACACAGATTGCAAGTATATGTCTGATTGTATTTGTGAAGGAGGTGTTGCTGAGATTTATGCTGAGGAACCTATTGTAGTAGATGTGTCAGAGGATGATGAAGGCCGTGACTATGAGCTTGAGATGGAAGAGGAGGGTAAAAATGATTCTGAAGAGGATAGTCCTGCAGGCGATGGTGCTGAAGTAGCTGAACAAGTCCAAGAAGTTGGCATAGATGCAACCAATGGGGCTGAGCAAGGCCAAGAAGTTGGCATTGATGTAGGAAATGGGGATGAACAGGCTGTGGCTGACAAGAGGATAGTTGTTTGGAGAGAGGATAGTGATGTGGACCCAACCTTGCCAATCTTAACTGAGCCAAATGATGGGAGTGATTCTGACAATGAATATTTTCCAGGAGATGATGAGCCATCTGATGATGAGGAGGAGGCTGCCAACATAGACAAGCAGTACAAAGAGTTGAAGAAGAAGATAAAGGCAGGGAAAATAGCTGATTTGGATGACATTGGTTTTGAGGGGTTGCATTGTTTCCCAAATGTGCAAGCTGGTGGTGATGAAGGTGGTAATGAGACACCATATGAAGACAGTGATTCAGAACAATCCATAGATGAGCTTGGCAGTGATGGAGAGGTTACTACAAAAAAGAGCAAATATCCTAGGTACAAGAAGAAGGCAGGAGTGCCAACATTTGAATTAGGAACGAAATTTAGCTGCGAGAAGTTGTTCAGGAAAGCAGTTACTGCTTATGCTCTGAGTGAGAGGAAGGTGATCAACTTTATAAAAAGTGATCCAAAGAGGGTTAGAGCAAAGTGTGACTGGCCTAGCTGTCCTTGGGTCTGTCTACTGTCCAAGACATCAAGGTCACACAGTTGGCAGCTAGTTACCCTGGACAATTTGCATGCTTGCCCCCCTAGAAGAGACAATAAGTTGGTGACCTCAAGAAGGATTGCAGAGAAGTATGAGAAATTTATTGTGGCTAACCCTGGTTGGAACCTGTCTCACATGAAGGCAATAGTGCAGGAGGAGATGTTTGCTGATGCATCTATCTCCAAGCTGAAAAGAGCAAAAGCCTTGGTGATGCACAAAGTAATGGATGCAGCAAAGGGACAATACCAGAAACTGTTCAATTATCAGTTGGAGCTACTTAGAAGCAATCCAGGGAGCACTGTTGTAGTTAACAGAGAGGTGGGACTGGATCCACCTGTAATCAAGAGGATATACATCTGCCTAGATGCACTTAGGAAAGGGTTTAAGGCTGGATGTAGGAAAGTAATAGGACTGGATGGATGCTTTTTCAAGGGTGCAACTAATGGTGAGCTGTTATGTGCCATAAGAAGGGATGCAAACAATCAAATGTATCATGTTGCTTGGGCTGTGGTAAACAAGGAGAACAACGAAGAATGGGACTGGTTCATGGACTTGTTGAGCAGAGACCTACAAGTTGGAGATGGAGAGGGTTGGTTGTTTATATCTGATCAGCAAAAGGTATACTCAAAACTGAATGATTAAATATTGATTCATCGCATGTCTGTCTCATATTGTTAACCTGTGAACCTGTTAATGTTATTGTAGGGTATTCTCAATGCTTTAGAGAAGTAGGCTCCACAGGCTGAGCACAGAAACTGTGCTAGGCACATATATGTTAACTGGAAGAGGCACTTCAGTGATAAGAAGTACCAGAAAAAATTTTGGAAATGTGCCAAGGCCCCTTGCAGGATGCTTTTCAACTTGGCTAGGGCAAAACTGGCTCAGCTTACACCTCCAGGTGCACAGGCTATCCTCAATACACATCCACAACACTGGAGCAGGGCTTGGTTTAAGGTAGGCTCAAACTGTGACTCTGTAGACAACAATATGTGTGAATCATTCAACAAATGGATCCTAGAAGCAAGATTTTTTCCTATTATCACAATGCTAGAAATAATTAGGAGGAAAGTGATGGGTAGGATCAGTGCACAAATTAAAAACTCTGCTAGGTAGAACACTGCTATTTGTCCTGGAATCTTGAAAAAACTTAATGTGTACATTGCTGAGTCAGCCTTTTGCCATGCCATATCAAATGGAGCTGACAAATTTGAAGTTAAGCATAATGAGAATAGATTCACTGTTCAGTTGAACAAAAAAGAATGTTCATGTGGATACTGGCAGTTGGCTGGGTTGCCTTGCCCCCATGCCATATCATGCATTTTCTTCAGGACAAACTCTTTAGATGCATACATTGCTGATTGCTACTCAGTTGCTGCATTCAAGAAAACCTATGAGCATTGCCTAGAGCCAGTTGAGGGCATGAGCAGCTGGCCTGAGGATGAAAGGGTACCTCTCAATGCTCCTGGATATATCAAAATGCCTGGTAGGCCTAAGACAGAGAGGAGAAGAGAGAGAGGTGAACCTCCTAAACCAACTAAGCTGTCAAAGATGGGCACAGTCATTAGGTGCAGGAAGTGCAAGCAAGTTGGTCACAACAGGACCTCTTGTGATAAACATCATGCAGGAGCGACATCAAACACAGCTCCTCAGCAAGGTAGCAATCCAGGACACAATTTGGTTCTATCAAACACACCCCAAAGTTGTGTCCAGGGTAGGAAAAGGAAGGCTACTTCAACTGCCAACACAACTGCTGTTAGCATGTCAAGGACACTGGCAACAAAGGAGAAGGTTAGTTCTGCCTCCTGTATTCTTGCAATTCATGCCAAACAATTGCATCTGTTATTAACCTATTTTTTGTAGGTACCTATGGAGTCCACCCAAGTTGTCAGGGTGAATGCAAAGGCCAAGATATCAACACAGCAAGGTGGATCAGCAACTCTCAACTTGCAAGCCATGGTGCCACAATCACAGGGATCTTCAAGTGCATCAATTTAGATAACATCTGGGAAGGCTTATGTTTCTGTCACTGCTGAAGAGCCACTGAGGAGGTCCAAGAAAACTGATACTTCAGGTCCATCCAAGAAGGCCAAAAAATCAAGTGCTGGAGCACTCCTCGTTATGCCACCATGGAAATCTGACAAACTTTGAGTCAGATTCCTATGTATGTTGCTATGCCAGACTATGAAGGCTTAATTATCACCTGTGATGTAATGGAGCTGACAATTAGGCTTAATTATGTGTGTTGAGCACCAGACTTAAATGTTTATGTGTGTGCTGTCATGTAATGCCATACCATATGGCCTTTTGCTACAACTATGTTTCAGTGCCAGACCTGAATTGGCCTATGTTCAATTGTCTGATTTAATGGAGTCATTTGTGCACCTGAGGTTCTAATGTGTGTTGACATTATGTTTGCTGCAAATGCCTCTAATATTAGGTACAAGTCAGACCATATAATGCTGAATTGTTAACTGGTCTTATGTGTGTTCACATTTTGCCCAACTTTACACATCTCATTACTGGTTCATTTCACTGATTCATTCAACTCAGTCAAAAATGGTCATTTCACTGATTCATTTCAACTCCGTTTGCTCAACTTGACACATCTCATTACTTCATACTTCATTGAACAGTAGATAGCACATTATGTCAGGGTTACGGGTCAGGCATACCCTCTACCCTTCGATATACGTTACGTATTGACATGGTATACCCACGCGTACGCGGATATTTCCTTTATGATCTAAGGAAACCTTTCACGAAATCAATAGACGAGAAGAGTCCTTCTCGTACAAGAACTGGGTCGCCAACGTATCGTGCCGGGTTTGACATGTTCGAGTCCTACTCGGAGAGTACCAAACCCGCGGTGTAAAAGGGACCCCCCGGGGAGGGCACAGATCATCGAATCTCAGAGCCAACACAACCCACACAGCCTACGAAGCCGGAGCCTGCGAGGAGCCAAGTCGACGAGAGCTAGTCGAATCAACTCAACTACAATCTCGCAAAATCCGCCGAGTTCCATCTTTTCCATTGTAACCTGTGTTTTCCACTATATAATCCCATATCAATTGGCTTAGGGCTATTACCTATCAAAGGGCCTGAACCAGTATAATTCTTGTCTTTTGATTGCTCGATGTCGTACTACGTAGATCCTTGTACCAGTGTACCCCAATACCCTCTATATCCGGTCTACGGGTATCACTCGTCGACAGTGGCGCACCAGGTAGGGGATCTTGGTACTCAAGGTTCTACTACTATGCCATCAAGCTTCGTCGACAACAACGCCAACACCAGCTTCAGCCAAGTACTCTCTACTTCAACAATGCTGGTATGGACTCAAGTCGGCGAAATCGTCTTCCCGGTTTACACCACGACGCCGATCTCAACCGGTCCTCCAATGACTGGAAACGAGAACGCAGTGGCTACGAACCAAGACGCCTCCATGTCGAAAAATCCACCTGTTGAAACGGAGGATGGATTACCGACTACATCCAAACTCGTGAAGGATTCCGATACGGCCAAACCTTGTCCCTCTGACATGCATCACGGGCCGACAAAGATGACTTCCGAAGTTAACAGGTCTTGGTGTCCTATCCACAAAACCAAGAAACATACCCTTCAAGATTGCTGGGTATTCATCAACGTCCGTGCTGAAATTCGTGCCTGCAAAGAACGCGGAATTCAGCGTACTTCTCCAACTCGGGATGTCTATTGTCCTATCCACAAGACAAAGAATCACGACCTCTCGAGCTGCAAAGTTCTCCTCGGCGCCATGAAAACTCCGTCTCCTAAGTGATACGTCCCCGTCAGGGATAACGGCAAGGAACAAGGAGCGACTCCGGCCTCAGATCGATTCGTTGGGGTAATCGATCTCGATCCCCACGAACCATCTGTTTTACATCTCCTCGAAGACTATGGGTCATCGACAACAAGTGCGGCGCAGGAGGTATTGCGTATCGATGACGTTGGCACGTCAGCACAAGCCAATGCGGAGGCGGCGAATCAATCGACTACTCCAGCCTAGCACATCAGAGTTGTTCAAGCCATACTGAGGGAAACTCCTTACGATCCCGTTCTAAACAAATACCTCGAGCGTTGGACGGAACGATTACGGGCATCGGTGACCAACCTCAGCAATGCGTTCGAAGAAGCCGCTACCGCAGCACACCAAGATCGATCACCAGTCGGCGATGCCAATGGTGAAGATCCGGAGCGGAGGGAATCACCTCGATAAGCTACCCCTCCACCTCGTGGCACTGGCGATCTTCGAGATCAAATCAATGGTCGCCGAGAAGCACGACGCACACGGGGTGACGCAAACCGCTCCCGGCGTCATGTCTCTTCGCGGCGCCATGATCGAGGAAATCGTCCAAACGAGGACCGAGACTACGACGATCGCGACCGGCGGGGGCCAGACAACACTGGTCATGGCCGTCGCCGCAACGACGACGATGAAGGAGATCGGCGTCGAGACAACAGCGAGAGACGACGACAGGATTCCCGGGATCCAGGTCGTCATCCTCGTAATCGTACGCCGGAACCAAGCGACCCATCGTCGTCATCATCATCATCCGCGTCCTCTTCATCGTCAGACAGACATCCACGAAGGTCACGCGACCACCGACAACCCACCGCTCCCAGTGCTGGGTGTAGGGCTTTCGGTCGTTCCCTACGTGATGTCCGATGGCCTGAGAGATGCCGACCTGGAGCTATTGAAAAGTATGATGGGAGCACCGACCCAGAAGAATTCCTTCAAGTCTACTCGACAGTGCTTTATGCTGCCGAAGCAGATGACAATGCGTTGGCGAATTATTTACCAACCGCGTTGAAGGGTTCTGTACGTTCGTGGCTGATGCATCTCCCCCCTACTCAATTTCTTCGTGGTCAGACCTGTGGCAACAATTCGTCACCAATTTCCAAGGAACATACAAGCGCCACGTGATCGAAGACGATTTACACGCGTTAACACAGAACTCAGGCGAATCATTGAGGGAATATGTTCGGCGCTTCAACGAGTGCAGGAACACCATCCCCGAGATTACCGACGCTTCTGTAATTCGCGCCTTTAAGTCCGGTGTCAGAGATCGCTACACTACCCAAGAGTTGGCAACAAGACGCATCACAACTACTCGAAGATTATTCGAGATCGTTGAACGGTGCGCCCACGTGGATGACGCGATAAGACGCCAGAACGACAAGCCGAAGACTAGGGGAGAGAAGAAATCAGCCGCAGACGCATTTGAGTCAAACAAGAAGAAAAATCGCAAAAACGGGAAAAGGAAAGCTCAAGCGGAAGTCCTCGCAGTAGAATACGCGAACCCTCCCAAGCGCCCGGACCCACAAGGCAGCGACACAAAGAAATCATGGTGCCCCATACACAAAACAGACAGACATTCTCTAGAGGATTGCCTTGTTTTCAAAAAGTCGCTCGAGAAGCACATGGCGTTTGAAAAAGGCAAGCGAGTACGCGTTGTCGAGAGGAACGAGGAGTCACCTCCTCACGAATCGGACTCTGCGTACCCAGACTCCGACCTCCACGTTTCACACATCTTCGGCGGCTCCACGACGTACTCCTCCAAGCGAGAATACAAGAAAGTGAAACGTGAAGTCTGTTCGACGTGGCAGGGGGCTGCACCCAGGATGAAGTGGTCTGAGCAGAAGATAGAGTTCTCGGAAGCAGACCATACCAAGACCTCTGTTATCCCAGGACGGTATCCGATCGTGGTCGAACCCACTATTCGGAACGTCAAGGTAGCACGGGTTCTCATCGACGGAGGCAGTTCGATCAACCTCCTCTTTGCCAGCACTCTGGATGCAATGGGAATTTCGCAAAGTGAGTTGACACCAACCGATCAACCCTTCCATGGAATTACTCCCCAATCATCGTCCAAACCTTTGGGCAAGATTACGTTGCTTGTGACCTTCGGCCAAGCCAACAACTTCAGAACAGAGCAGATCACCTTCGATGTCGCTGAATTCGATACAGCTTATAACACCATCATCGGGAGAACTGCACTTGCGAAGTTCATGGCCGCATCCCACTACGCATATCAAGTGCTCAAGATGCCGGGACCGAAGGGAACAATCACTATTCAGGGGAACGCAAAGCTGGCGGTGCAGTGCGACAAGCGGAGCCTCGACATGGTCGAGCAAACGCACACCCCACCCGCCACGTCTGAACCACCCAAGAAAGTGAGCAAGCCAAACAAGACGCCGAAACCGGACAGCGCCATCAAGATCGTTCCGCTCTCTAGTGCTAACCCCGACAAGACTGTCAAAATCGGGGCTACACTAGATGAGAAATAGGAACTCGCGCTCATCACCTTCTTCCGCGATAATGCCGACGTGTTCGCTTGGCAGCCGTCCGACATGCCGGGGGTCCCCAGGGAGGTGATTGAGCACAAACTAATGGTGCGACCCGATGCCAAGCCAGTAAAGCAAAGACTGCGGAGATTTGCACCAGATCGAAAACAAGCCATACGAGAAGAGCTCGACAAACTTCTCAAAGCTGGCTTCATCAGATAAGTACTCCATCCAGAGTGGCTTGCTAACCCAGTTATGGTGCGGAAGGCCAACGGAAAATGGAGAATGTGTGCCGACTTCACAGACCTCAACAAGGCGTGCCCCAAGGATCACTTTCCTCTCCCTCGAATAGATCAGCTAGTGGATTCAACAGCCGGTTGTGAACTATTAAGCTTCCTCGACACTTACTCTGGCTACCACCAAATTAGCATGGCAAAAGAGGACGAGGAGAAAACAGCGTTCATCACACCGTTTGGGGTATTTTGCTACGTTAAGATGCCTTTCGGATTGATAACCGCTGGGAATACTTTCCAACGCACGGTCCAGGGCGCACTTAGCAATCAGCTTGGCAACAATGTCGAAGCTTACGTCGACGACATCGTTGTCAAAACCAAGACAAGCGACTCATTGATTGATGACCTCCGGGAAACGTTCGACAACCTCCGACGATATCGCCTCATGCTCAATCCAGAGAAGTGCACGTTCGGAGTACCGTCGGGCAAACTACTCGGATTCCTTGTTTCTGGCAGAGGAATAGAGGCAAATCCCGAGAAGATCAAAGCAATCGAGAACATGAAGTCGCCCACAAGACTCAAGGAGGTGCAGAAGCTAACCGGATGCATGGCAGCATTAAGCAGATTCGTCGCTAGGATGGGAGAACGAAGACAGCCTTTCTTCGCCTTGTTGAAGAAACAAGACAACTTTGTATGGACACAGGAAGCCAAAGAGGCATTTATTGCACTCAAGCGCTACCTATCAAACCCCCCTGTACTCGTTGCTCCCCAACCTAATGAAAAATTATTCCTTTATATTGCCGCCACGCCATATTCCGTTAGCACTGTCATTGTCGTCGAGAGAGATAAAGTA